TCATTTGTTGATCAGTTCAGTCTATATACACAATATAACATGTCAAAATCAGCCAGATGATAGAAAGATTGGATTAGTTGGCTTTCAGATACATATGATTTATTATCTTGGTAGTTTTGACATCTCTCTGCCTGATTTTCATCAAACACTCCTTTCTGTTTCATGCCGCTATCTGCATCTCTTCCAGTCTGTCTTGTGGCTGTTATTGAGATGTGAAAAAAGCTGGAACATGAAGTGTGTATCATTGCTATGCCAAGCTTAACCTGCCTTGACTAATCCACAATGACATCGCAGATGTGTGCAGACTGCTGAAATATAGCTAATGATTGCTTTGTAATAAAAAAAGGGATGCATATTTTTGATTTATGCATAGATGAAGTAACCATGCCTAATTGGTAAGAGATATGAAGGGTAATGTAATAATACTTACAAAGAGGGGGCATGACTAATATATAACACCACTAATATGAGCAGATAGCTGAAATGTGCACTAATATATTTGTCTAGTTGCTATGCTGTTATTCACATTTATTATGCCAGAGATGTCGAGGCTGCCTTTAATGACATAACTGTCTTCCTTTCTTTTAACTAGGCCTAATGAAATGTCCCAGTGGCCCTCAGTGTCCAACCTGCGCTTCACCCAGTTCCCTTCAAAGACAGGGCTTGCTTGATCAGACTCACCTGTTGTGCATCTCACCTGTCATTGCATCTTCAGGAAGGGACACACCTTTGGAGACAGAAATGAGTAAAATCCAATCAAGTGAAAACTTCAGAGAACCGTTAGGGACTGCCTCTCTGGGTCTGTCTGACCAGCAAGGGAATAGTGTTGATCTGAGTTGCAACATCACTCACTCTTCTGACTCTCAGGATATTGCTCCTCCTCAAGATCTCTCTGTTTCCTCCTCTTCTCCTCTCCCCCTCGCTGTGTCACTCTCCCTGGAGTGTCCTGTGGAGAGAGAGAGCTATGAGAACCTGTGGAGAATCCTGGCTTACTACAGTGAGACTGCAGTTCACCTTGAGAAGGAGCTCATGCTGAGCAAAGCCCCAGCATTGGCCTACCACTATACGCAGGTAGCAGAGACAAATGGATATTATCACACTGGAGTCAAAGCTTCTGTTAAAGCCAGGCCACACTGGTTACTACAGCCAGCGATTAGCATCCAGCTGAACAGAGCGCAGTCTAATGGTCACAAAGTTCACCTTATATATTCAACAAGAGTTTCTGCTCATCCTGACTCTACTTCTTATCCATCAGCGTCTCACCCATGGGTTCTGATTTCAACTAATCATACCACCACAGCACTGGCAGCAGTAGCAGGCAGTAAGGTGGAGCTCTCCTGCCCTCTTCTAAGTTCTGGTAACCCCATAATACAGTGGATTCTCCCAGATGGAACCAAGCTCATCTTCCCATCTAGCAGCCTGGATGGTAGGTTCCAGGCCTCAGCCTCTGGTTTGCTTCTACAAAAAGTAAAGCTCTCAGATGCTGGGCTTTACTATTGTGTAGTGCAGGCTGGCACAGATGTAGATGTTCTCCCCCTACGCCTGGCAGTGGAGCAGTCCTCTGTTCCACCCTCAGGAGAGCAAGTGGGACCTACTGTCACTGGAACAGATGGGGAACCTGTCAGTTTGTCCTGCAAGGCATCTGGTTCACCTGCACCTCATATGAGTTGGGTGTTGCCAGACCAAAATATAATATGGTGGGGACTGGCTGGATCAGGTGGACTCAGTATACAATCAAATGGGAGTCTCTTTCTGCCTAACCCTTCACTGAGGGACACTGGTCATTACCGCTGCATTGCAGTCAACCAGTATGGTAGTGACTCTCTCTCCATGAAGCTGGAATTAAAACCAGAACATCCCCTTCCACTCAGGACTTCATTTCCCAGAGGGCCACAGTCAGCTGCTGGCCGGTCAACCAAGGTACGAGCACCTTTACTTTTGGAGGAAGGATCAGGGGATGAAGAAGAAGAAAAAGAGAGAACTCCTTTTGGCAATAGGAAGCATCTGAGACCTCTCCAGCCTCCCCCAAACAGACGTTATCCAGTTGGGAAACCCCGAAGACGTGGGCCTTTTAGAGAGGGCCCCCTGAGAAGAGGAAGGCCTGTATCCCCCACTGACCAGAGGAAAAACCAGCATAACAACAGACATAGGGCAACCACAAACAAGCAAAGGATAGACCCTCAGAAATGGGCAGACCTGTTGGCTAAGATACGTCAAAAGACTGCTCAGATTAATAGCAACAACCAACCTACTGCAACAGGAAAGCCCACACCTGAATCAGTGGGCAGAGACAACGACATAGACACAACAAGACTTCAGGGAGCTGATGATACACACAGAGGCAGAGTTGAGAGCTCAGAGGTGGAAGAAGAAACTGAAGGGTCCTCTGTAGATGACACTGTTCTACAAGAGGAAGGCCTACAGCCCATCCATCCTGTGCTCACAGAAACAATAACAGACACAGAGAGGCCAACAGAAACACAGACAGATATAGAGGACAAGACACACACACACACACAGATCCCAGGCCCACAGTCAGAGACCGTGACAAACCCAGAAACACAGAAAGAGCCAGTCACATCTAAGCCAGTTTCTGGAGCAAATGAAATTGTCCCAGAACCAGCTGAAGGACCTGAGCAAGAAGTAAACCCCAAACCATCTAGAACCAGGCCTGAGGACCCCCAGCAGCGACTCTTACCTAATTTGGTTCCAAACTCTAGAAGGCAAAGACCTTGGAACTCTCGCAGGAGGATTGGAGAGCAAAGACAAATCATTAACAGGCCTAGAGCGCGACCTTTGACACCACCTCGACCTCTCCCTGACCCTACAAACCAGAGGTCACTAACCATGACACCTGACAAATCCGCATCAACAACCTCATCTGCAGCATTTTTGACAAGGAACGACCATACTAGGACTCCTGCATTGGGCGTACCACTGAACCCTCTGCCTGCCCCTGTTTCTTACACTCTTGGTATGCCCACTAGAGAATCTGGCTCCCCCTCACTGACTCCCTCTCCTCCCCACTTCTCCTCATTATCCTCCTCTCATACAAAGGCACATATAGACATGATGACTCACACAACCAGCATCCCAGACCCTGCAGAATCGGTTCTTTTCAACACATTGACACCAGCACCCACTCATTCAAATGTTGTGATTTCACAGACACATGTGCCACACACACACACCAGGACACTTACAGATGGTGTACAGACACACACAAAAACACACACAGCCTTAGGCAAACACACTGAAAGATTTCCAGGCAAACACATTAAGGAGGTGGAGTGGAATTTTTTGGATGTACCATATGCATCTCCCTCCATCACTCTTTCTGCCACTCACTCCTCAGTTGTTTCCACCACAGTCCCCAGTGCAGCTACAGCTACTAATGCAAAAATCACAACCACTCTAAAAAGTAGTTCTTCTAGAAGTACTAGCAGTACATCTACTATTATAACTAGGAAGGACACACTTCCGACAACGACTACAGTTACTCCCATGACTACAAATGCAATCACATTCACTACAACTACCAATATTATTCCAAAATCTAAGACTAACAACAACACTACAACTACCCCTACCTCTCCTATTACCACAACTCCTATTCTTACATTTACTACTCCCACTCCCACTACCATGTCTTCAATTAGCCCTTATGCTGCTGCTTTTACTACTAGTAGTACTGCTAGTAGTACTAAAATTTCATTCAAAGCTAATACCACAACTTCTAAACCCACTACTACAGCTACAGCTACATCTACTACTCCTACTACTAGCACTAGAATGATCATCTCAGCCAGAATTTCTTCAACCACTCCAAAAGCAGCTACTTCTCATACACCTAATACTACTACCAAAACAACAGCAACAAGTACCAGAGCATCATCCAAAGAGAGGCCAAGCACTGGCCAAGTTAACCTCCAAAGAAGGCCCAATTCTTGGACTCCAAACCAGAGTTGGTCACCTATTGACAGGAAAAACCCTGGAGCTAATTCTATCCCTGATTCACACAGCAGCAGGCCGCACTCTCCTTCATTACCTGCTGTCCCCAGGGTGAGTTTAAATCAAGCCAAATAACATAATATTGATATTTTGTGGACACTTTAAAGCGACAAGGTTGGGCCACAGTTAGTTCTTTGTTAAATTAATTGCTACATTTTCTACTGTTTCCCCATTTTTGTGTTCATTACTTTCAGTCATTCAATTCATTTCTTTTAAGTGCACATTTCAAAGTAGTTTTGCAGTTCATATGGTTATTTTTCTTTGTTGACAGCTATATTGAATTCCAATTAATATTTCTTTTCTAAGTGAGTGCTGGCCCAGAAACAACACACACACACACACACACACACAGTATGCTTGGCTGTGCAAGCCCTTGGGCAAAGGTTTAACCTAAAGAAGAGATGAAAAACTTATGTTCCATAATCAACAACATTTTGTGTTTTAGAGCCTAATCCCAATGAATTTAAAATAATCAATTGTTAATTAATTTTAAGAGCTGTGTTGGCATGCCTCTGCTGACTAAACCACCAGGTCCACCACCAATGAATCATTTTAAATCTGAGTAACGATAGACTGGATTAGTGCTCCTCTTCCACAACAATGCTTGAAATGCTTATTATTTGCAAAAGATATAATTAATAATGCAAATTATTAATTACAGTTACTTGTCACAAAAGGTTTTACTGAAGAATGTACATATCCATGTCTGTATCTGTTACTTATGTTACAAGTTTTTGCATAGCATGTGGCTGTGGTGCATTTAAGCTGGTGTTCATTTGCAGGTCCTCCATTCACATAGTATTTTATTAAGATGCTGCAGCTTAGTGGAGCCCCAAACTTGAGGTGTCTTCTAATTATAGCCATAGTTTAAAATGATTTTTTATTTCTATTATTCAATATTTTATTTGCTGTTATAATCTTTCTTCCAATTTTTTTATAGGCCCCAGCTGTGAGCTCCAGACCAAGAATTGCAGACCCACACATCAGGACAGCATCATTCCCAGCAGAGAGCACTGCCAGGCTGGCTTGTGAAGCTCAAGGAGAGCCGAAGCCCTTCATAACATGGACCAAGGTCGCCACAGGTACACACAATGCAAACAAGCATACACACATATTCAAAACAAAACACCCTTAAATGTATGAAGGTATAAATCAAGGAACAGTTTTATGTTCAATTTACATTCAAGTTAAACATCAAACTGGAGGCCTGTGAAATACGATTCATGGATTCAGTAAATTCTTCTAATTACTCAGTAAATCTGCTTCCTGGAACAGGCTCAAGGTCTGTATTTTTAATTATGCTGGGAGAGATAGGGATGAATATTTTTCATTCAAAAGTCAATTTTATGCATATGTGAATATACCTGTCATTTATATGGATAGAAACTACACTATAAAAAGCACAATAAATCAAGGTTTGTATTTACAGTATATTCTGATGTCACAGATTAAAAAGGAAATCTATGCTAGCTTTAGAAAAACTAAATGAATATGAACACAATTTACACTGATGATATAACATTAACACCCAGCATTTCCCACTAGCATCCACTGGCATGTCTTTCCCATGTGGAAAAGATATATTGCAAGAAAGTAATGGAACATTTTGTGCACTGTATCACTTACTTTATGCTGTGCAATGTTTAGTGCATCCCTGTGTTCCTCCTTTACTCTCTGCCACTTAATAACTGTCTAACTTTCTTTTCCAGTTTGTCTATTTTCTCTACACTGTCTCCTCAATGCTGCAGTGTCTCACTGTCTGACTGTGTTGCTCTTTGTCACTCTCTCTCTCTCTGGCAGGGGCAGTGATGTCAGTCCACTCCAGGGCTCAGCGTTTTGAGGTCTTGCCAAACGGCACCCTTGTTATCCAGAATGTTCAGCTGCAGGATAGAGGCACATATATCTGCAGTGCACACAGCTTTCTAGGTCGTGACAGGTGAGGATACTGATACCAGCTATGAATATTAATGCACTGTATACCATTTAATGAACATGGGACATAGTATTTTCTGTATAAATTACACATGCCTAAGGAAAACTGATCTGTGGGAAAAAAAGGTCATATTGTTAGAAACAGTTAGAAACCCACTTGCATTAACCTTTTTAAGCAGCCTTGCAAAATTTAGCATAAAATCTGTTTGTAAGCTGAAAAAAATCAACAGGTTTCTAGGTTGAAGACGTTTCACCTCTCATCCAAGAGGCTTCATCAGTTCATCTATCCAATCTCTGTAAGATTTATATTTGAAATGTGCAACCCACTATGTGTGCATAGGTTTATGTTCTTTCTTTGAAGATTTCAGATGGAGTTAAGTTTGCATGTCTTTGGGTGTTTCTTAAATGTATCATGTGACATTATCTTAATTGCTTCACATTTGTTTATGTGTTTCTACAGTAAACCGAGTATTTGTGTGCTTTGCTATTTCATGGCAGGTTACTAACTGCCCTAGAGGTGTGGACCCGCCCTCCTCGGATGAAGTTGGTGAGCTACAGAGAAGCCACAGTTCATCAGGGTGGAGAGCTGCTCTTGGAGTGCCAGGCGGATGCTGTTCCCACCCCTCTGCTGTCGTGGATTCTGCCTGATCGTTCTGTCTTGACCTCTGCTGCTTCCTCCGCCAGTCGCATCTCTATGAACACAAACGGAAGCCTCCATATCTCAGTAACTTTACCAGGTGATAGCGGAGTGTATCGCTGTGTAGCCTCCAACTCAGCAGGTACTGCCAGTGCCTCTGTGCATGTACACGTGTCCTCGTTGCCCCCGGTGATACAGCAAGCCAGAGAAGAACACCTGCTCTTGTCTCTAGGGAGGCCTGTCTATGCTCACTGCTCTGCCCGAGGTGCCCCACCACCAACTCTGCGCTGGCGAATCCCAGATGGGACTCTGGTCCGTCCATCCCAGTTTCTCCATGGCAACCTTTTTGTCTTGCCCAATGGGACACTGCATATTCAAAGAGTTGGGCCAAAGGACTTAGGGAGTTATGAGTGCACAGCTAGTAATGTTGCTGGAGCTGATAAGAGGACAGTGTGGGTAGAAATTGAAGGGGCAACAGAAAGAGGAAGAAAGGAGGGGGGTTCAGGAAAAGAAGAACCAAAAGCAGCTGTTACTGAAAAAACATCTGCTTCACTCACTAAAGACAAAAATGTGTCCATCCCTAGCCACCCTTCAAATCCATCTAACTCCTCTAAACTCTCGCCTCCATTACTCTCCAGGACTTTGCCGCTCACCCCAAGCTCCTCTTTTTACCTCCACCAGCCCAATTCCATGAACTCACCTCCTAAAATCAATAAAACCGTCACAGCCTCACCCACACACTCTACCAACATCAACATAACACACCTTTCCTTTCGCCGCCTACCTTCCACAAATAGGCCAGAATTGTCAGGAAATATTGTTAACAACACAGTTACTTCATCTATCTCTGACAAAAGCAGAAATTCAGCTGTTTTGCATCCCTTGCCCAACCCCCCATTAAGTAAAGCCCGCATTGTCTCTACGTCACCCTCCATCACTACTGTTGACTATGGGAGGATTTTGCAGCTCCACTGCTCTGTAACTGGCAACCCGTCCCCCATCATCATTTGGAGGACTCCCAACAGGAAACTGACAGACATGCACTTCAGGTACAGGAAATGTGGGTTTGTGAGCTTTTTGTTGGTTGGCTAGTTCTATCTTGTGGTAATTCCATTAGCCCTGTGTCTCATTCTGTGTGTTTGTCTTTCTGTCTGTTGTGTGTATCTAAATTTCATTTAAAGTTTTGACCGACGACTGAAGGTGCATCCTAACGGTACCTTGTCAGTCCAGGCAGTAACGGAGAAGGATGCTGGAGACTACCTCTGTGTCACACGCAACAAGGTTGCAGATGATTATCGCCTCCTGCATGTATCTGTGATTACCAAGCCTGCCAAGATTGCACCAAAACAACCACTCCATCAGATGGTGTCATTTGGCAAACCACTGAAGGTGAGCTCAGTAAAAAATCCTGCACTTGCATCTCTGCCTTACTCCTAATAAATACGGTATGTTTTTATTTTTAAGCAATACATGCCAGCAACTAATAGTTAAATTTTGCATAATAATTCAGTTGCCAACTGATTTTTTCACTGTTAACACACATTAAATACTTTTGATCAACATGTTTGCCATCTTTCTACAGCCACCAGGAACCATTTCACACCCATACAGCATGGGGTTTCCATGTTTTGACAGTCTTAGAAATGGACTGTGCCCCGGCTGAAACTGTCTTGAAAAGCATGATATACTGTAACAGTACGGCACTGCTCAGAAGCAAGTCCCAAAGTGTGCTACTCTGCCCCCAACCTGGCCGTCTATGCCACCATATTCTGATTGGCCGAGAGAAAACCTGAGCAACAGGAAGTGTCTCAGCTGAAGAGACCCACCCACTATTAAGAAAAATAAAAATGGAGATGGCAGCTCATTATTAAGAAATAAAAGGAAGCCAGTATAACAGCTATGTTTGTAGAATCCATGTTTGTTCCGTTCCATTCTTACTGTTCTTGTCTTTTCTGGTAGCACAGAAGACAGCACAGTGACATACTCTGCAAGAGCAACAATCATGCTGTGCAGTGGAAGCACAAAAGTGCACTGGAGCCAGGCAGGTTGGACGAGTAGCTGGCCAGCTGGCCTGAGTATGGGAAGGTTTCTGGTGGAAGTGGAAAGTTGGCTAAAATGGTCCATGGTCTCTTCTTGTTTGTTTTCTGGGTAATTTGGTTGTTTACACTTGCATCCCATAATGTCAAATCAACATCATATTTGCGCCACAGATTAGTTTGACTGTAAATATCCACAGTGTCACTTTCAAATACATCTGTCTCATTGCAGCAAACTTACACCACACCTCACACCTCCACTGCTGAGTGGGTTTTTTGTGTGTGTGTGTGTTATAGTTTTTGTTGAAGCAGTGCTATGTGTTGGCTGTCTGCTACCTCTGGGTGTGGTGCCAAAAATTTCCACAGCTTGCTTGATAAAACAGTGCTTCATATGTTTGAGTCAAAAAGAAAAGAAAGACCTGCCAGGTCACAGGATGCTATGAATCATCAGCAGTGGTCTTTGGGGGATATGCATAAATATTTAACAGCTCAGTGGAAAATAATGTAACATAGGATAAAATGCAAGCAAGACAACACTGGACTATTGTGGGAATTTGTTGCCCTTCACTTTTTATTTCATTTATACATTTAGGAGCTTGGAATAGTATTTTATGAATGCTTCTGAATTTTTTATACTCGCAGTTTTATGCTATTTTCTTTTTGTAAGAGCTTAAATATAGCCTTAATAAAAAGCCTAAAACCTTAAAATGAGCATTGATTGTGTTCCCTGCAGGTGGACTGCCAGGCATCGGGACTGCCTGACCCAACTGTTCGCTGGAGCCTACCAGATGGAACCATGGTGAACAGTGTGTTGCAGGGGGAGGACAGAGGGGGACGAGCAAGGAGGCTAACTGTGTTTGGCAATGGGACTTTACTGGTTCCAGTAGTGGGTATGGGAGAGGAAGGGGAGTACACATGTTATGCTGAAAATCAAGGCGGTCAAGACACCATGAAGGTAAAAAAAATAAAACATTTGTGCTGGGAGGTTATTTCAGAAATGCACTTTAGTTCATTACTCTATGCTTTAATTTACAGTAGCAGTCAAAAGGTTTCTCAGTTTAGTTCAGTTGGAAACAGTTCTCCTATATTAATGAATGTTTTAAATGAAAATATTTTACATTGAAATAAATATGTTAATTCCTTTATTCATTCCTTCAAGGTCAAAGTAAAGGTCATGATGACATCTCCTCCAACTTTCACAAATGACAGAAGGTACCACGTCATCAAAGTACATCAGGGGGCAACTGCCAGAATTCGCTGCCAGGTCACAGGAGATCCTCTCGCAACAGTGATGTGGTTTTCCCCGGTCCATCGTGTCATACCACGAAGGTTGGGCTCTGGTTATTATTCTGAGCGGGTTGCGGTGCTATCAGATGGAACTCTGGAGGTGTATCTGGCCCAAAAGGATGACAGAGGAAACTATACATGCCGAGTAAGTAGTTCAGCTGGGGAGAGGAGCATGGTGGTAGGCCTGGACGTGGAGGCTCCTAACCATGCATCGAGTGGCCAGGCGAGAGGAAGAGGTTGGAGTACTAGCAGTGGACCCAGTAATAGTAGATCAGGGGGGAACAGTAAAAATAATGTAGGGTTAATCCAGTATGAATTTACCAACGGAGCCACACACAAGCTGAGTAGCAATAACAGTAATAGTGATATTAATGGCAGGATAAGATACATTGTTCCAAACACTGGTGTTAACATAGCAAACAGTGGCTCTAATCCTGCCTTTAGGGGTTATAGTGAAAATGCATTCAACAGGCCTGTCAGTGGGATTATACCACACCTTAGTAGCAGTGTAATCAGCATCGGGGTGAGTGGGGAGAAGAATACAGGCATTAAGGCGGGTAACACTTTAGACAGAAATGAACCAGGCATTAAGAACAGCAGTCGTAATAGTGTAGCTATCAGTCACAACAGAATTAGAGGAGACGGTGTAGAGAATACTGGGAGTAATTATAATAAAGCCACTGTGGGAAAGGGTGGTAATAATATCCCTGGTAGAGACAACAGTGGGACAAGTAGTGTTTCTAGAAATGCTGGAATTAGTAGCAGTGTGTCTGAGAGTGGAGCTGATACTGGTACACTCAGTTACAGTAGGAGTCAAAACTCTACTCACACTGTTGTAGGTGTGGTAATGACAGTGAAACATGCAGTGAAAGGTCAAACTGTTATTTTACATTGTCCTTCACAAGGCCCCCCTCCCCCTCGTCTCACCTGGCTTCTGCCTGGTAATGGTGTGGTACCGGCTCCATATTATGGGGGTCGACTCACTGTGCACCGTAATGGGTCCTTGGAGCTGCGAGGTGTGCAGGCAAATGATGGCGGGACCTTGGTTTGTGTAGTGAGAGGTGAGAGAGGAGAGACGAGGATACAGGTGGAGCTGGTGGTCTCTGATCCACAGAAGGAGTCCAGATCTCCACCCAGGGAACCAGCTGTGGAAAGACCTCTTCAGAAAAGTGTTGGTTTTATTGAAGCACCTCAATCAGGAGCTGCATTGGATTCAGCCCAGTCCTTAAGCTCACAGGTAGTGTTATCTGAGGTGCTTCCTCCAAGAATCCCAGTCACTCAAAAGCATTTGCAGAGGGTCCTCAGTTTACCTGCTGTACCTCGTCCCCTTGGCCCTCCACCTCGCTCTGCTGGCCCTGTCTCAGAACCAGCAGTGATCACCAGAACAGCCCCCTTGGTAAGTATCATTAATGGAGAGACCCTTCGTCTTCGTTGCCCTGCTTCTCAAACCCCAGGGTATACCCAGGGATCTTTCTCATGGACCCTGCCCAGTGGCAAGGTGCTGTCCCGGGGTGAGGGTGGTGACCTGGACCGTTACCGAGTGCAAGAGGATGGAACACTAACAGTGCAACAGGTCTCTGTGTTTGATCGAGGCACCTACACGTGCAGAGCCACCAGTTACGATTCCTCCTCAGTTTCAGTCATCGCAGTTCCTGTCATCATCATCGCCTACCCTCCTCGTATCACAACAGGCCCCTCCCCTGTGACCTACACACGCCCCGGGGTTGCTGTGGAGCTACCTTGCCTGGCCATAGCAACACCAAAGGCAACCCTTACCTGGGAAACACCAGACCTGATACAGTTGAGGGTGATGGGTCAGCCGCGTATCTATGGCAACCACTACCTTAGTCCTCAGGGTTCCTTAGTGATACAGAAGCCAACAAGTATGGATACAGGATTTTATAGATGTATCGCTAAAAATGTAATAGGAGTGGACACCAGGGTGACCTACCTGCATGTTATATAATAGGGTGAAATACACAGGCACAGTAGAAAGACAGAGTCACTGCTCTGTACTGGTGAATGAACGTCTCAGCTATTAACACCATGTGTCTTTCATGCTCAAAGGAACTGCAAGGCTCCATTCAGGAGATACTCTTGAATCTCAGAAACACCACTATTAATATACAGTCTCATTTATGTACTTTTTAGATTTGATTTCCCAATACTGTATTGTTTTTTATATCAGGAGTTGCCTGGTTCTCTGCAGATTCAGTCAGGTCTTTGCTTCTACATGAACTAGGAGGACTATGCAGCTGGAGGTATACACACTACCTTTGTGCCTTCTTATCTGTCTATCAGCCTTGAAATGGTGCTCATGTTACACATGCAGTTAAAGTTCAACAAAAGGCAGAACATATTAAATATTGCTGCAAAAATGCAAATGCCCACATCAGTAGCTGTGGACTGCTACAGTGGACTCAGCTAACTACAGTATTTTGTTTTCTTTTGCAAAACTGGCTATGTTCTCTTGCCTTGTGTTAAAGTTTTTAGGAGCAGGCAGTATGGACAAAATTAATATCTGAGCAATCCAAAAACTACTTTTATATCAATGTATAATCTACTAATATTTACATCGTGCCAGGGAAATGTGTTCATTGATTTGTCCCCGATTCCATTTTGCACTGTTTCAAACTCAGTAAATACTAAATTCATTAATCCAACCCTCTAAAAACAAGGGTCCTTTACTAGGCTTTATTAGGCATCACAAGTTTATTTTAATACACAACAACAATTCAAAGTCCTTATCACAATGTACACAAATAGATAAAAAAAACATTAAAATGCAGTTACTAGGAACTTTAACACTATCACTGTAATATGAAATATCACTGACTCATTGAGTAATAATGACACCCTGCAGCTTCTGACCACCAGTTGTCTTTAACAACTGTCTACAGTGCTATCAGCCATGTTAATGTTCAGTATTGTGTAATTAAATCTAATCCTGTGTGATCTTGGTTGTTGTAAAATATTTCAATTTTTTGCAACTTGGTTTAAAATGTGTGAGTTAATATTTACTGTGTTTGCTACTGAAAAGATTTATTTTTTAAATAAACTACATATTACAAAGAGGATGAATTTTGCAGTTGTGGTGCATATTGTACGTAGCAAACAGTAGCTTAAATTGGCAGCGTTATTTGAAATGAACTGCCTTTACATTACATTGAACCTGTGAAATACATGATGGTGGAGGACTTTGGCCTTACGATTCACCCAAACATCAGCATTGTTTGGGATTTATGAGCCCCTGTCACTCTTCTTGAGACCTGTGAATTTCAAACAACTATTGTTCTACCATCATCGTTTGTATCTCTTATACTCACTGAGTTACTGGGGCAGAATGGGAGATGGTATAAAGCATTCATGTCAACACAGTAGACAGTTCTTTGAAGAGTGATCTTATTTTGATATAAATGTACAAGTGATTGAAGAGTTTGCCCTAAGTTTGTGCAAAAAGCAAGTAGCTCATTGTGTTTGTTTAATTGTTTGTTTTTATTTTGTAGTTAAATTATTTGTTTTTATAAAGACTTTGTTGTAAGACATCAGTATTTTGTCATAAAAGGAGAATTATTAGATATTATTATCTATGTTTGATGTCTCAGTAGCCACAGTGAATTCTTTTGCTAGTTTAACAGCTTCATTTTATAAATAAAAATGGAAAAGAATTGACAGTTTTGTTCAGAAATGTGGTACAGTTAGACTGTGTGTTTGTATGGGTGTGTACAGAGTGACCGTGAGAAAGTTACACACATTGTGGGAGTGCAAGAGTGAAAAAGGGAGCTTTTCCTTGAGTATGAGAACAAAAACTCTTTATCCCCAGCTCAGCTGTCAGATCAGGAAAAGAGTCATAACTATAGATGAGACACATGTTGATGACATCATATTCCTCTTCCTGGGAAATGCTATCAAACTCACAGCTCCCTGCAGAGTGACTCCACACGCCACCCTGTGCTAACACCTGCCAAGGGCTGATGAAACTGTGAATCCACTAAATAGCAATACTTTATATGTAAGAACAGCACACCTTGCTGTAGCACCACTTAGCCATTAGTATGAGAGAATAATGTCTGAGCTGTCAGTACAGCTGCCACACTGCATGCTGTAAGTCACAGCTTTTATACTATTACACCACACTCTTACACTATTTTTACCTTTCCCAGCTGTGAACACTGTGAAGCAATAGTGTCAGTCAACACAACAGTGCATTCAGAACTCAAAACAATTACATTTTTTGACTCCATTTATATGGATGGTCTATTTAGTCATTGTGTTGTGTGAACATACAGTTAGACACACTCAGGGCACAGTTAGAAGAAGAGGACACAGCCTAGGACTGTAGTGTTACTTCATGAATCTAAGAGCAGCCCCCTTGGCCAAGCTCTCCTCCACAGTCCACTTGTTGGCCCAGGGCTAAGTTTTATTGTTTTATTTTTCATGACACAATGTTGTTAAGTTGTGGTTAGTTCTGATCTAAATTAGGTCAAGGGACTCTCAGAAAGTGTTTGTGTACCACCTTTTTAGCTCTGAATCAAACACTCTGATTGGACTGTTTAGTCCTAATGAAGTCACAGTCAACTTGATGATGACATTTGTCAGACCTCAAGTCAAGTCAAGATTTTTATTTGCCATTTATGCATAAATAGACAGTCTAGGCATATAGGAATTCTTGTTGTAAAGTCTTGTTCTGAGTGAGATGATACTGTCCGCCCTGCTGTGCCTGAGGCTGTAGGTGCAGTTTTTGTGTCTGAGCAGAGAGTGAGCTGGGTGGGGTGGGTTTCTGATTATGCTCTCTGCCCTTTTACAACAGCACTGTGTGTACAGTGTGTCCATAGCAGGCAGTTCAATGATCCTCTCTCCAGACCTTATAGAAAATGAGTTGTAGAAGAACTGAAACATGCAAACAAACCAACAAATACACCGTTACATTAAAGTATTGTTGTTGCACGTCAGTTTTACGATTTCATGTTTTTCACTCCCTTTAGACTGCTAATCCTTTTTATTGGGCTATTTCAAACTTGTAAGCATATAATTAATGAACAGTACATGAGTATTTTATTTTGCATTTGCTTCACATTCACTTTAGCTTTTGGCATGAAGCCATTGAAGAGTTGAATGCAAGGTAAAATGTTGCTGTATGGATTGAACTGCAAATATGCAGTGAAAGCCTTTAGGTCATACTGATTGTGCATCATCTCCTACAGCAGCAAGCACATTATCAGCATATTAAAACTGATTGTAAACACTCTTCATGTATCAAAATTATTTAAAAAAAACACTCTAGCACTATGTCTCACTTAGGCTACATACACCAGTTATTTTCCCCAAAAACATTCTTCATATGCCAGACTTTTCCCAAAAACATTCTTCATATGCCAGACTAATATCAAAGAGCAAATACACTTCCATTTGTTGATTATATTTAATGATGTGAAATCCAGCAATAATGGATCAGCTCAATAACTATGGTAATACCATCATTTATACCAAAACACTGGAAAAGCAACATAAAACACAAAAGGACTCTAGCCACACACTTCAGACACATTAGAAACAAATCAGCTCTTGCACAGAACAATTTGTGACACAAAGCACACACATTGCTGCTCAAATCTGACATATTCACATGAAAGGTGTCGTCACAGATTAGTCATGCCAACTGAATCTGGCACATCAACATGACACATGCCATGAACCACACAGCTTTGATGTTCATATCACTGTGAAAAGTCAGACAACAGCTAGTCATTTGTTTCTGCATGCTCTGAGTTATCTTGCGTGAGTCAGTAAAAAGAGCCACTGTAATGTTTTTGTTTCACACTAAGCAAAACTCGTTTTCTGAAGGCCCATCTGGCCAATAAAGGAGCTTGGTAATACTTCAAGGTGGACCACATGCACTGTGGTGGAAGATTTATTTCAAAATGTACTCTGCTACTAATCATCTGCAAAACGTCTAATCAGTAACATATTTGCTCTGCTATGTAATTTATAGTGAAAGTTTCCCATTGCCCACTGATGGCTTCATTACTTTAATGTTGCTTTAGAACAACAATAGACTTTGGGGTGAAAAAGGCATTTTGTCTTGGAGCCTCATTAGGATCATCCATTGTGAATGTATTTTTTAAAGGACTTTTCAATTTTGTTGCTCTAAAGGACATAAAGTGTTAATGATATGAAAATATGAAAGAGGTCTGAAGTCATTGGGTTCACAGCAGTGATGATTATATAATTGGAAATAAGTGGAAAATTATCCCTGTAAGGAAGAGCAATGGGGGGGGCTCAGCTTTGCACATTCACCCTATGGTTTCGGATACATAAATGGTTTGTTTTTTGACAATACATCAACTGTAGCACATCAGCTCTAAGTAGTGCAATGTTAAAAAGAGTAGTCAAATCAAACTTCACTCTTATACCTATTATTTGTAGTTTCAGAGCTTATTTCTCCTTTGACTCATTTCCCCTTGCATTCATTGAGACAGCAGGATGATTGTTTCCCTTAGATTCATATGACTAAAGATCAACCTGTGCAGTAATGAGCTAATGGAAAAAGAGAACTCAAGTTTCAGTGTGAGGGAAGAGGTACAGTAGCAATTCTTTAGATGTTGACTTCTGTGGGGTAACTGAGGCTTTAGTCAGCTGTTGTCAGTGTTGGGGAAGCTACCTTGCAAGCTACCAATTACCCCAGTCTGGAAAGAGTATTGCAAAGCTGCCTTAGGGAAAGCTCTAGTTTGGTGATTAAAGCTACTTTGAAAAAGCTGTTCAAACTACTTTGTATTAAAGGAAAATGACAATGTAGATGTGATACATAATTATAACAAAATGTAATACAAGAAAGTCACATGTCAATAAAAAATGCAGATCAACTGAGTTTATTACCTGAGGCCAAAACCTGCCCTAAATAGAACAATCCCATCTGGGCTTTGCACAAGGACAAAAGTGCAAGGATTGTTCCATTTTGTTGTAAACAAATCAGAATTTTGTATAATTGGACTTCAACTAAAACATTAAAGTATATAACGTGCACCTTTTAGACAATTTGACCAAGTTGGGCACAGGTCTAAAAAATGGGCCTGTTGTCTTTTTAGTTTTGTAACATCTGACTTGTACAATCTTAACTGAAACAGTCTTGTACCTTTTTAGACCGTATGAACATCTTGAATACTGGTATAAAGAATTTCTTATACGATACATCAGCAGTCTCTCAAAATTCCAACAGGCAGTTCAGTTTGGCTCTGAAAATGTCCCTGCCAATGCTGAAAAGACGCTCACATACAGCACTATTTAAAAAAAAAGTTAAAATAATTCCTTTTTTTTGGCCA